ATTTCTTCTTTGATGCTTTTATTCATTTTATATTATTTATGTACGTTTCTTTCTTGACTTTTCTATCATTAAATGTCTTTGTTACTTTTTGTTATTGTTAGTTGTTATTTCGTATATTTTTATGTGTTGTTTTATTATTCATTTTTGTTATACTTTCAATTACTTCTATTCTTATTTTATATCAACTTTTTATTTAACACGTTATTTCTTTTTCTTTTATTATTTTATTTCTTATCTTTATTGTGTTTTTCTTTCATTTCTATTTATTATGTATTCTTCCTTTTATACTTTTTATTCTTCCTTCTTTTGTTTATTATCTTTCTTCTATTCTTTTGTTTTATTTTATTTGTTCGTTGACTCTCCATTTCCTTATTTTATTTAATGTATCTCTTGTTCTATGTCTTTTTCTTGATTATTTATATGTACTTCTTTCTTTGTATTCTCCTTGTCACTTCTTCTGCTCTCATTTCACTTCCTTGTCATTCTCTCTTCTTATCATGCTATTTCTTATTAGTCTTATCTCTATTCTCATTCCATTTCCTCATCTTTTTCCTTTTGCTTTTCTTCTTTCTTTTGACTCAATCTTTCTTCTTATTTCTTTTCCCTTTTTGTGTTGTACTTTTTATTCTTATTTCATTCCTCTTCTTTTATGTCATTGAACATTTTTATCTAGTTTACTTTTCTTTACATGACCTACAAACTTTGTTCAATATTCTTATTAACATAACTTGTTAGATTCTTTTGTATCGAAAAAGAACCTTTAACATTTATTTTTTTATAATAAAAAAAGTGTGACATTGGGTCAATTAGTGTTGGTGTTTTTATGTTAAGCAAAAGTCATGTCCTTCTTAAGAAGAGTTTAAAATAATATTTACAAAAATTAAATACCTTATTTTCTTGAAAAGAGTTTTTTTATGTTTAAGTATAACCAGTAAAAGACAAGAATTGACATTAATACTAGTGTCTTGAACACGCAACGTCTTATATGATAATTTAACAACTATTTTCTTTTGAACTTTTAAACTTATTAATACCCTTCTTAAAGTTGTATTATTTGAATAGGTTATATGGTTTATTGCTTATTTTATATTCTTAAAGAGTCTCATTTATGACTTATCTTGTTTTCCTAAACTTCCTTTTAGAGGTGGTTATGATTTTCAACTTAACTTGTCTCTGTAACATTGTTTTTATTTTTTAGTGTTTGTAAGACTTTAAACTATAGTGATAAATTATCTTAGATACATACCTTTAAATTAAAATTTTTTTATAAAACACCTAATCAAAAATTATCAAATCAATGCTTGATTGAAAAATGGATTGAGTGAAGTTTTTTCTTTAGATGGTGGTTGTTTTGTTCGTGAGGCATTACTCTTTGAAACTACAAGGAAAGAGTGATTCTTGTTTTGTCCAAAACACCGTTGTAATGTGTTAATATAAGAATTCATCTCAATTTGTTTTGTAAATTCGTACTGAGAATATGTTTGAGATAAAATATGATTGATTTTGTTAATAACCTCATTCTTTTTTTGGTTGTACTCTTCATTTGAAACATTAACAAAAGGATGGTTTGTTCTTTCTCCTGCCATTTTTAGTGTCATTCCTTTCTTTTTGAAGAATTTTTGTGCATGACTACGGACTTGATAAATGGTTTTTGAACCAATAAAAGCAGATATTTTGGCATAATCCCTTCCATATTTATTAAAAGCCTCTTCAAATTTAGACCTTTCTTCGTCAGTCCATGTCTCTCGCCTTTTTCTATTTTGTTTAATTCCTCCAGTTGTTTTGAATAAGTTCTAAACATTAGACTTTTAATTTTTTTAAGGGGGTTTAAAAGACACTAAGAAACAAACCAGTTCAACAACACTGTTAGTATCGGTTGTGTCATTTTCAGTAGAAGAAAGAGTGACACTCATTTTTATTCTCATTTCTATTCTAGAAGATGTGTACTTAAGACAATATACCTTTTCATCTTATTTTTCATTCTGGAAGATAACAAGATAAGAACTATAAAATGAAATATACTTTGGAGATTGTATTTAAGTAAAATATCTTAGATAATTTTAATGTATTTTAGATAGAAGCTTAAAGATTTTTAGTTTATTTGAGAAGAAAAAAAAACCAAAAATCAACCTTTTTAATCTTTTCATAAAAAAAGATTTGAACTGTAAATTCATAATATATGAAACTGTTATTGGCAATACTTTTATTTAGTGTTTTTACATTTGCTGAAGAAGAATTTACAATTGACGAAGACTTTGACTTAGAAAATGATGACCTTGATGAATATGAATTAGATGATGATGATGAATTAGATGATGATGATGAATTAGATGATGATGATGAATTACATGATGATGATGAATTAGATGATGATGATGAATTAGATGATGATGATGAATTAGATGATGATGATGAATTAGATGATGATGATGAATTAGATGATGATGAAGATGGAGACAGTGAATTTGAATTAGAAGATGATGACGATGAAGAACGAAGAAGACGTAGAAGAAGAAGAGGATCATGGAGAAGATGGTTTAGAAGACATCATAGAAGACCACGAAGACATTATCGTAGAAAAAGTCATAGAAGACATTTTAAGAGAAATAACAGAAAGCACAGAACCAGAAATAACAGAAGACACCGAAGAAGAAATAATAAAAGAAAAATAAACAGAAGAAGATTAGCTAAAAAATCAAATATTAAAAGAAGAGCTAATAGGAGAATTAATAGAAGAAGACCAACTAGAAGATATAACACAAAGAAAGCACAAAGAAAAGCAAGGTCATTATTAAGAAGAGTCAAAAGAATGTTAAGAAAAAGAATTAGTCCAAAACAAAAGAGACAAGCAAAAAAAGCACTTAAACAATTAAAAAAAGTAATTAAAGGAAAGGTTTCACCAAAGAAAGCTTTTAGACAAATCAAAAAAATTAAGAGAGCTGAAAAGAAAGTTGAAAGAAAGATAAGAAAGAATAGTTATAAAGCATCAACACCATCAACAGCTTCAAAGAAATGTAGCTGTTATAAGGTAAAAGCACTCAAATTAAAATTAAAAAAATTAAGCAAAAAGATGTGTGATTTAAAGGCAAAAATCTCAGTTGCTAAGAACGAGATTAAACACCAAAAATCTAAAAGACATCATTATGTTAAAAAAGCAGAAAAACAAATTGCTAAATTACAAAAGAAAGTTGGCTCAGTTGCTAAGAAAATAGCTACTGCTAAAGTTACCAAACAAATGAATAAAAAGAATGCTAAAGTTGTTGCTAAAAAGTCTGAAAAGAAAGTAGTAAAAATTTTAAAGAAGAAGTAAATGATAATTCATTTGTTTTGAACTAAATTATTATAAAATATTTTATAAAATAAAAAAATTGTTTTAAAGAAAATAAAGAATAAAATAACATAAAATTATATTTTTTTTGTTTCAATTATTTTGATTAAACTATTTTTTCTTCCTTAAAATACTACAACTTAATCATTTAATATTTAGTTTCTTTTTTTTTTATTTGCTTTTAAGATGATTATTTAATGAAACGTTTTAATGTATTATTACACTAATTTTATTTTTATCAAAAAAATATTGAAATTTTTATTATATTATCTATTCAATAAATTTTGATAATTTCCCTTTTTTGGATTAATAAAATTATAAAGGAATTTAAAAGAAATAAAAATGAGTAAATTTGAAAAAAAGATGAGAAGTTCAATGAAATTGTTACATAAACTAAATTAAGAATATTATCAATGTGTTTTAAAGACTTAAAAATAAAATTCTATTTTATTTTTATATCTTCTTTAATTAGTACTACTATTATTTATTAAGGTAACACAATAAAATAATGTTATAAATAAAAAAATTTATTTCAATATTAACCAAAAAAATTAGGTGATTTGATAAAATACTAATAAAATAAATGATAATTTAAATTCACAATTCATTCATTTATTTATTTCTTGTTTATTGTTTGATTTAAAATGATTTTCTTAAAAACAAATTATTAAAAAATAAATAATTAGAATAAAACAACAATAATTAAAAATAAAATTATAGGAAATATAAATTGAATTGAAACAATTTTAATAATAAACTTATTATTCATATGTTTATTATTTATAAACTAGTATTATCTTCTTTAGTATACGAATGTTATATTGTAATAATAAAAAATAATTCATACTTATCAAATTCCTATTATTAATTTTGATATTATTAATTGATATTATCAATAATAAAATTAAACTGAATTATGTCTATGAATGCACCAAAGAAATAAAATATTTTGTTTACTATTAAAACACCTTTTAGATGGAGAGGTAATTTAAAAGTTCAATCTAATATCAAAAATAATAAAATGATTTTTATATTTTAAATGAAAGATGCAAATAAATTAAACTAAATAATCCTCAGAATTTGTAGTTGTAGATTCACTAATTCTTTGAGTAATTCCTTCTTGAGAATTTATTAATAATGGAGAATTAATATTGTCATTTGAATCATTAGCATATTCTTCATTATTATCAGTTATTTCATCCGTTATTCTTGGGAGAATAGAAACTTCTTGATTTGTATTTTGTTGTTGAAGAGTTTCATTAAGTAATCTATATGAACTTTCACTAATAAGAATTAAAACAATAGAATACATCATAACAACTATTTCTTGATAATCAGCATATTCTATATCTTTTAAAACTTGAAAACAAGTTTTTCCAGTTTTAATTCCAATAGGACTTTGACATGTAGAATTATTAAGTGTAGTAATATTAGTTAATTTCCAACCACAACAATCATACTAAATAGTAATTACTCTTAATTTAAAGTATTAAAAATAGATAATCAATAACTACAAACAGGAATTTGAAATGGTTTTGCTTTCTCCTCATCCATAGTAAAAAGTTGTCTTAAGTCATATGAAAAATAAGAAATTGATCCAATAACAAATATTAAGAATAATACATTTATTATTCCTCCTCCATTAATAAAAAATCCATTCATTAAACAACTTGCAATAATTAATAAAATACCACAAATAAATAAAGATGCTCCAATAGCATAATTAAACCCTCGAAAAAATGTTTTACTATATTTTATCATTGACTTTTTGGAATCTATTATCTTATTAAACCCTCCAAAAGCAGAAACTATTTCAACACTAATGCCTGAAATGATTAAAAAAATACCAAAACAAATACCAAAAATCCTTGATTTTTCCATTACTTCATTCTCAGTTCTTTTTTCATAAACTTTTTTCAAAAATGAAACTAAATATTTTTCTTTTTTTAATTCAATTTCTAGTTATGCTTAACTAAAACTATTCCTTCCAATACACTCGATAATGAAGAATAATCATCAACAGCTAATTCTGCTCTTTCTCCTACACCAATAAGGACTGGTGTATTATGTGTTTGGAATCCAGTAATAGTTTTAGGTGATCCAGCTTGTCCTGCAACATCAACTGCAACACCAACTCTACAAGAAGTTTCAACAACTTTACCATTTTCATCTATTGGCATAAACATTCTTGGCTTCATTGCAAGACATAAAGCATTTATAATATATGTATTTAATCCAGAAATACGTTCCATTCCTTCTCCACCAATAAAAATGAATATTAAAATTCCTGCCAATGAAATAGGATCCATAATAAATCTATCTGAATACATTGGATTAATTCCAATTGTTCCTTTTCCTAAATGAACTAATCCTTGTGCAACTTTAACACAATATAATGACTGATGATCATTTACAAAAAATGCAGCAAGTTGATCTAATAAACTTATTGCTCGTGTTGCTTGAGTTCCAGCTGAAACAAGTCCAATAGAAAGTATAGCATTTCTTGCAGCAATTAAATCAGATCCATGAGCTAGTCTTGTTAATTGTTCAAGTAATCCTACTTTTGGTTTTCCAATAGAAGTTAATGCTAATGCAAATGGAACATATCTTTTAACTGAGGGTTCTCCATACCTTTGAACTTCATTAATTAGTCGGGTTGATAATTCAGTAGAGAATTCATCAGACATTAAAGCTAAAGCAACTCCAATAACAGCAACTCCACATGCTTTTGTTTCATCATCTTCATCATGTTTACCACATGCTTCCATTAATTGTTGAACTTTTAAAATATTTGATGTTCCTGCAAATGCACAAGAAGAAACAACTAACATTGCATATTGATTTACTGGTGATGGTAATGCTCTTACAGTGTCCATTACTAATGAAGCACTTTCACCACAACATAAATGCAAAAGTCCTAATCCAATAACTAACATTTTACATGAAACACTTTTTAAGAAATCTACATTTCCATCATTAGAAAAGATAATTGAAAGTATTTGGTCAGCAATATCTCCATCCATAGTTCCTTGAAATATTAATCCTAATGCTAAAGCAGCATGTCCTACAGTTTCAAATCCAACTGCATTGATATCATTTAATACTGCAATTAATGTTTCTTTCATTTCTGTCTTCCGTGTTCCTGCATATGCAAGTCCTAATCCAAAAATACTAAGCTTACGTTCAATAGCAGATGTTTCTGCTCCTAATTTATCACTTAAAAAGACTTGTGCAAAATCAACATCACTTTTTACTCCACTACAGCATGTTCCAATACCTAATAATGCACCAGCTCTAACATACATTGAATCAGATCCAATAAATGAAGTAAATTGTTCAACATCTTCTGGTCTCCATAAATGAATTAATCCCATTCCAGAAGCTGCTGCTATTTGTCGTTCACTTCTTCCTGTAATAACGTATTCTCCATTATTAGCATGAATTAATGAGTCATAACCAAATCCTGCATTAGCTAAACAATCAGCTACACATAGTCCCATGTCTTTGGAGTCTTGTGGTTCTGGTTTTTGACTAACAGTAAGACGACTTGGTAAAGGTGCAGAAGTACAAATTTGTTCTGGAGTTTTAACTTCTTTTAATCCTAAAGCATTAATTAATTCAGTAAAGTATTTATTTAAATTACTATTTCCAAGAGCTGTTTTAACAGTTTCATTTTGAATTAAATTAATAATATTTTCATCTCTTATTCTTGATAATAAATATCCAATTTGCATTAAATTAGCTTGATTGTTTTGGTTTTCTTCAATAATTTGATTTAACCCTCCAAAATCATTTGCTTTAAGCATTAACCTAATAGCATCAGAATATTTATGTTGTTTAAGAGCAATATGTAATAAAAATTGATAAATTTGTTTGTCTTGTGGTTCAGGATAATAAGCTGCACATGATGATGCATATAACAATAATTTATCAAATCGAGCTTTCTCACTATATTGTTCTAACATTGCTAAATTATTTGTTTCAATACAAAAATCAACAGCATCTTGTTCTGCATTATGTTCAATATGAAACTCAATCAATTTTTGAGCAATAGGAATAAGTAAGTCTTTTTGTTGTTGCCAAACATCAACAACTTCTCCAGTAAGGTTTCTTGTATATTCATGTCCCCATTGTCCTAAATCATCTAAATGACCAAGTAACTTATATTTTAATGACTCTCCTTTTTCTCCATTAGTCATTACTAAAACACTCAAAACATCAGCAAGTGATTGTCTTAATTCTCCATTTGTTAATTGTGAATGAAATTGTTTTAATTGATCCAAATATGGTCGAATAAATTTTGTTGTTTTAGGTAGTGTTGTTGAAGAAGATGTGTTATCTCCCCTTAATGTTTTACGCAATAACTCAATAGCACTAGTTGATATTTCAATGTTTGGGTCTTGAATACGTTTGACTAGAAGTTCAATCTCTTCTTTTAATTGATCATCTTCATTAATTTCGACAGGTGTTTTACTAGTTGGACGACTCATTTTCTTTATTTTGATTTTGAAGTTGTCAGTTCTTTTTTACTTTCTTTTCTTTTTATTTTTTTATTTTCTTAAAACTTCATCACTTTTTTCTTTTTTTTTTTTAATAATCTTAGATAATTATAATGTATATTTCAGGATTATTTTATTTATTCTAAATAATATCCAATTAATTGCTTGTTTTAATCATTTCATCTTATAAAAAAGATTATGCTTTCAATGGAAATAATAAGCAACCAATAAACGAATAAATTAAATTTCATTAATACCACTTTCTTTTATTTTACTCATTGGTATTTCACTGATAATTTTATCTAACTTTTATTTTTACTGAATGATATTCTAATTTGGCTAATGACAATAATACTCTCCAGTTATTTTCATATTTCTAACTTGCTTATTACCCACACCTCTTTTTTTAGCATTCCATATTACTTCTCTACTTTTAATTCCATCTTAACCAATCTTTTTAAGTTAATATAATTTATTGTTTCATTTTGTATTAGTATGTAATACATTTATATCTCATAGACAAATTGTCTATAAGTTTTTATAACATGAGGTTGTCATAATGTTTGGCATTAGTTGTTTTTGTTCAAATAATATCCAACAAATGTTATAAGTTTCACTATATATTTTTAATAGTTCTTTATTTGATTCGAAGATAAAACATCAGAAATATAACACAACAAAAGTATTAAATGATGTTTATGTTTTGAGAAACCAACTGTCTTCTGATTATGATGTTAGTTTTGATGAAATATCATATCATTCAATATTTCAAAGATTTGTGTTGGTTATTATTTGTAATAAAGTATCATTCATTATAATAGAAGAGTGTATATACATAAAGATGGTTGTTTCGTGACTTGTTGTAGTGCAAATACCAATAAAAAATAAATTTAATACCATTTAATTAACTATTTTTTAATAACAGTTTTTTATTTTATGAATATACAAATCAGTTATGTTGTTTGTCTCCATAAGAAGAAAGGTTATTTAATAAAACCACTAATTTTATTAATACCAAGAAATAAATATTCTAGTAATATCATTATTTTTAATATTTATGGTATTGTTCCTTTAACATATAATTCTATTAAATTTTAATACTCTATTGTTTTATTGATTTTATTGAATATTACATTAACTATTTCATAGTTTTGAACAATTTATTCACTAATTCTTTGAATTTTAGTACTAATTTCATTGGCATTTGAATAACTTTTTAGGATATATCATAGTATTTAAGTTATTGACAATGTTACTTATTTCTAAAGGTGTTATTTTTATTTTCATTCATTATTTAATTATATTTGTTATGAGTATATTTTAGCTCATTATTTCGATATTTTCAAATAATAGTGGTTGTTGTTGAACCATTTATTATAATGGATAGTTTAATAATATATTAAATGTTGTGAAATGAATATAGACAAGTTATTAATTAGAGACAATAGAGATATTTCTAATGAATCAACAATCTCATGATAATACACAGATAGTATCATTATTATTATTGAAATACGAAAGTATGATATTAAAAACATAGATAAATAAAAAGAAACGATAAATATTTCAATTCGTAATAACAAAGAAATAATAAGGCGTTTAAATATATTTCATTTATAATAATTTCAACTACTTATGAATAAACTGTCTTTATTAAAATACATTCATTGTGTTTATTATTTAAACCAATAATTATATTTATTGGGTACGAAAATTAGCAAAGAAAAAATGCATCTAAATAATTTACAAAAAAGAAAAAAGATGCAAAAAAATTTGCATCATTAGAATAATCAACTTTATTATATTTTGCTCCTAAAAAAATAAAAAAATAAAAAGTATGATAAATATACAATCTGTATATATTTATGTTTATATTTTATGATCATTTCTATTCATTTTGTATGAAATATTAATGAAATAGATGATTTGATGAATCATATTTATTTTTATTATTTTTATTCTTTTATTTATATGT